ACAGCATTACACTTCAAGATTGATATTGAGATGCTCCTTTTGATAATGAACATGATGCAATTCTTCAATTTGTCATTCTCAACATTGTAAACCATATGATTGTGTGATTGAAAATGGCCAATACCAGTCCATTTTAGCTCATTTATGTCCTGGTGTGGCACTGTAGGAGGAATCACTGGACTGCGAGGTCAGTTTGAACCACAGGGTTAGTGGTTCATACTCACCAGTAGCTTCTCCGAAAACCTACAAGGGTCACTATGAGTCAGAACCGATCCAATGGCACCTAACAACAATGTCTAGGATCTTGATCTTTAAGCATTCCATTTCATTTTTGACAGCTTCCAATGTTCCTAAATTCTTACTTTATTAATAAAAAATTAATAAACAGAACATTCCATGTTCTGGTTATTAATAGATCGACTCTACTTTGAGGAGGTAACTCTTTCGCAATTGTATTTTCAGTAACTTTCAGCCAGAGGGTCTTATCTTCTGGCACTATTTCAGACAATGTTCTGCTGCCTTTCATACTGTTTTTAATGGCTAACCATTCAGAAGTGGTCTACCTCTCCACCTTGCTAGTCTTTCTTAGTCTGGATCCTCTGCTGAAACCTGTACATCATGGGTGACCCTGCTGGTATTTAAAATACCAGTGGCATAGGTTCCAGCATCACAGCAACTCAAAAGCCACCACAGTATGACAAATTAACAGATCCCTGGAGGTTATACTCTACACTTCATATTAAAGGAAAATGGTGCATTGCCCAGATTTGTCCTATTATAACTAGAATTTAGAAGAATTCAGAAGATCTGAAAGACGAGTTCATTCTGTTGTACAAAATGAATACAGAACCGACATGATGGCACCTAACAACAACAATACAAGAAATCAGAAGAACCTGCCCCATTTTTAAACATCTTCTCTCTCTCTCTCTCTTTTTAAATAATAATCCTGATAATGTCACTCATACTTTGTACTTATTATCAGGAGGGACCAGCCCCTGGGGAAGGAGATCATGCTTGGCAAAGTGAAGGATCAGCGAAAAAGAAGAAGATTCCCAATGAGGTGGATTGGCACAGTGGCACCAGCAATGGGCTCAAGCGTAACAATGATTGTGAGGATGGTGCAGGACCAGACAACTTCTGATTCATTTCTGTTATGTTGTGCATAGGGTCATTATGAGTCAGAACTGACTCAATGACACCTAACAACAACAGTAATCTAGGTGCTTCTAAATTACAAGATAATTCAAATTAATCTACTGCAGACCTAACTCTATACCAACCATTGAGGGGAAAATGTTAAAAATTATTCATTCAAGTTGCTTGCATTTTCCACATTTCTTCATAATCTGTCTTCCTCTGAATACATGTTTTTTAAATAGCTGTATTCTTAGTAAATATAAAGTTGTATATTCTGGTGTTTTTCAACCCTGATTGTCAGACAGTGATCTCATTGACAATATAACTCTGTAGTCTTCTTTCTCTGTAAAAGCAGAGATGCTACTATCTGTGGGCTGATCTGAGAAAACAGTTGTGATAAAATGCCCTACAGGCAGTGTGGAAGAAACTGATTTTCCAAGGGATGTCTCAGGCTCAGTGACCTGTGTTCACCTCAGTTAAAAAGAAAACAAAACACCAAAACATTTTGCCACATCTTTGTATCCTCAACAATGTCTACACCACCTTATGTACCAGAGAATGAATGTAGATATCAAATTGTTTCAAATGAATTTTCCTTTTCATTGGAAAAATCTCCAGATTTTCATGTAGAAAAATCTCCAAAATATAGGCTTAAATATGCTTCAACCAATTGCAAGCTTCTGATTCATACATTCATAGACAATAAATGTGTTTTAAATAACTGAACACAAAATCTAAATCAAATGACTGTTATTTAGTATAGCTTCAAAGGATAAATTTGCGTTTCATTCTTAGTTTTGACCTATTTGAACAGTTAATTTTCGAGGCTGCTGTGCCTGGTTGAGTAAAACTCCCTGGATGCATTGGGGGAGTGGTTTCATTGCAGACAGCTGTGTTTTTTTTCTGGCCCGTGACAAGACAAGCAAGACAGGGAAGAGGATCTTGTTGGAGAAGAGGACAGGATGGGCTTGGAAAGTAGAGTTAGATCAATGCCAGTTTTAGTGCAGCTGAACACATTCAAAAGCAAATAAATGACAGTATTTGCAAAGCATAATATTATATTTATTGTCATTGTAATCATTGCATCGTTAGATGTGTAAAAGCCCTTGGGAAAGCGGATAATTACAGGATTTGTTGAATCTACTGACAACACTGATCTAGATGATTCCAGTCCCTAAATGGATTTAAACTAGTTGTTTCATGCCAACTCCTCCTTCCTTCTGTATAGATGTGATCATAGTTTATTCTACTGAGTTGTTGCAGAAATTTGGGGAGAATGCGCAATAGTAAGACATTCTGAATATGACTGGTAGTAACTTATGTTAAATCTTGTCAGAAGCAGATAGACTCATCTTTCGCCCTCAGAGTGGCTGGTGGATTTAAACCACTGACCTTTTGGTTAGCAGCCCAACACTTAACCTGCTGTACACTAGGACTACAGAGAGGACCTACATATACTTTTTGGGAACCACCATTCAACCCACTCTACTGATGATCCTCAAGTTTTAAGAACTTCAAATTTAAAAGGCAATGCAGGATTTAAAAAGGGATGCAGTCCATAAGATCGGCTTCCGACGAGGGTTGGAGAATGTGTTTATCCTATGGAGAGATACACAACTCTAGGAACAACTATATTAAGAGATAAAGAGCCATCTTGCTGTCTGATAATGGTCACTGTCACACAGGAAGTCCTTAGCCCCATTCAGAGGCATGATAGAGTGTAAATTACATTTTAATTGGGTCATTCTGGCTGTTATAATGTTTACCATCATTATCTCCACAAACACTATCATAAAGCAATCATGCTAGGAAGAAACCCTGGTGGTATAGTAGGTAAAGCGTTCGGCTGGTAACTGAAAGGTCAGGTTCACCGTAGAAAGATGAGGCACTCTGCTTCCATAAAGATTACAGCCTTGGAAACCCTACAGAGTTGTTCTGCTCTGTCCTATTTGTTGTTCTTAAGAGCTGTTGAGTTGGTTCTGACTCACTGTGACCCTGAGTAGGGTTTCCAAGGAGCAGCTGGTGGGTTTGAACTGCCAACCTGTGGTTTACAGTTGTGGAGTGCTGTAAGTCAGAATCAACTCAATAGCAGCGGGCTTTTTTTGGTTGTGTGCCAGTTACCAGTTCAAGTAATTAATAAGCAGTAGTCAATTGAATTCATACAGCAATTGTTTGAGGTGGTAAATCCCACTGTTATATCTTTTACAGATATATTATGACTGCCCAATATTGTGACTTTCTTTTTTTAACAGTTGTGTCTTCTCCACCAAACTACAAAATCTGTGAGTATCACCAGCACCTGGTAGATAGAAGGTGCTGAGTCCATGCTAATAGAAAGAGCACTAAATGAAAGTTTCCTGTCTCTGCAGCTCAAGATCCCAGGTCTGCTCATGCAGGAGACAGTAACGTGAAGGGAATGATGGGCCCGGGTAAGTGGCTGTTATGTGAGTTTTCTTTGCTTCCAGCATTTCGACTGTTAAAATAATCAGTCAGTCACAATCAGGCCCGCCATTTTAGGCTGTACCTTCGGGTTCTTTCCTCTACCTTCCCTTCAACTCCATTTTGTAACCTGAGGTTTCTGTTTCCCCGCCAAACTAAGCTGCAAGGCACGTAGTTTAAAAGGCAACATGGCTTTTGATAGGCCAGAGCTAAATCACCCCAGCAATGACGTGTGATCTCCTGATTTGAACCTATATAAGACCATTCCCTTCCTGTTGATCTTCACTTCTGCTTTCGATTCGCGGGTGGAAGTCACCTTGTTCTTCCTCACCCTGAATAAAAGTCACTAGACAGGCCGCCCGTCTGGTGTGCGATGCCGCGGTTTTTTCCCTTTCATCTACCATCCTTTCCTTTCACCTTCTCTACTTCTACTCCTCATTCCCAAAAGCCTTATATTTAGTGAGACTCCAACATGTGTGCTGGAGTAGGTCAGCTACTCAATTAAACCCAAGGAGAAAAATGAGTTGGGGAAATTGCAGACAAAACCAGTATTCTTAGATCTTTCTGACTCGTTTCAATTACGAATGAATTATCATTCCTTGGAAGTCCCAGGTGTATGTAGTGTGCTATAAATTTTCCACGGGCCACAAATTTGAAGATTATTTAATCTCAAAGGTATTTACTCAGTAGACAATTCATCTGAATTTTGTGAATTGTTTCACCTAACCTCCCTTCCTTTTTCTTTCCTTAACTATCATAATCAGGGCCAAGGAGGACAAATCACAAAAGAAAATTTTTTTTTTTTTTTGAAACCCTTTCTCCTCTTCTTTCTGTTGTTGCTTCCCAATAGCGCTCAAGCACCTGGTGTGCTCCCCTAAAATGGAGCAGAAATGAGGTGGTAGTGATGTGCCGTGGAGTCGGCTTCAACTCATAGCGATACGGTTTCTGACGCTGTAATTCTTTATGAGAGCAGAAAGCCGCATCTTTCACCTGCGAAACTGCTGGTAGTTTTAAACTGCTAACCTTGAGATTAGCAGCCTGACTCATAACCACTACGCTACCAGAACTCCTCAAAGAGTTAGTACAAATTGTTATAAATCAGTTATTTTATAAATTTTTTGAAAACACCTTGCTTATGCATGGTGTTGTTCTTGTTAAGTGCAGTTAAGTTGGTTCTGACTCAGAGCGACCCTGTATAGGGTTTCCAAGGAGCAGCTGGTGGGTTTGAACTGATGACCTTGCAGTTAGCAGTCCAGTGCTTATCCTGTGGCACGACACCAGGACTCCATGCATAGTAGTAAAAAATATATTCTGTTGTCACCTGCCATCAAGTTGAGTGGGCCTTGACTCTTGGTGACCCCAAGTATAATGAGATCAGAGAGTTGTGATTCATAGGATATTTTCATTGGACTTTCTTCTTAGTCCCTCTTAGTTTCATTGGTTTTAGCAAAACTTCCACTGACAAATGTATGTGAGGTGCATTGGTCGGGAATCACACCTGGGTTTCTTTCACAGAAGGAGAGATTCCTACCACTAAACCACCACTGGCCCCACAGAGCATTTGTTGTTAAGTTAACCTGTTGAGTCACTTCAGATTCATAGTAGTCCTATATAGGGTTTCCAAGGAGCCACTGGTGAGTTTGAACCACTTACCTTGAAGTGAGCAGTCCTACAGCGCTTATCCTACAGAGCCCTACTAGGACTCCAAAGGACATGTGGTGGTGGTGGTTATGTGCCATGGAGTCGGTTCCGACTCATAGCGACCCTCTACAGGGTTTCCAAGGCTGTGAATCTTTACAGGAGCAGAAAGCCTCATCTTTCTCCCACGGAGCAGCTGGTAGTTTCGAACTGCTGACCTTGCGGTTCGCAGACCAATTCATAACCACTACACTACCAGAGCTCCTTCCAAAGGACATATAGCACCAGATATATTTAATTCCACTAACCTGTTGCTGTGGAAACAATATGTAATTGGTATATTTGGGGAAGACTACTATTAATCCTCAATAGATAATATCCAAACAGACATATAGCTAAGATTTGGTAACAAACTATATATATATATACACATACATTTTTCCCCCCGAAAATTCAGATCTTGATTGTAACTGTTATTTTTCAGGAGTGACCCCAACAACTCCAGAAACAGAAGAAAATCTCAAGTCTTGCCTCTCAACTGATGTCCAGTCCAAGGGCCATCTCCCATCTAGTGTGTGGAGGCAGCCTAAAGATGGTAAAGAATGGGGCGAGGAATATGTCACCAAAGACCACCCAGATAAACTCAAAGAAGCTGGCCAGGGCAGACACAGCTCCTTAGAAAATGTTTTATGTGAAACTTCTTTAGCTGGTAAGTTGCAAAGGCTGACATTTTAAAGGAAAGGAGGCAACAGGGCTCTAGAGTCCTGGCAATTTAGAGATTCAGTACACATTTGAGACCATATAGTTTCTGAATTCCTTTTCAGATAAAGAAACTAAAGCCTATCTGAAGTCATCTGGCTGGTTGGGACTGCCACTTTAATTCTGAGTATTCAAGTTATTTATTAATGGAATACTTTGGGGTGGGAAGGCATACAACAGGTTGAGAAGAGGCATTATGTGCGCTATTTAGTCAGTAATATAAATTCATCAGTGCTTGACTATTTTATCAGTAGTTTACCATAGCATAAGGAGTCCTGTTGTGGCACTGTGGGTTAATGGCTGGACTGTAAGGTTGGTGGTTCAAGCTCACTAGCTGCTCCTCAGAAACCCTATTCAGGGTCACTAGGAGTCTGAACCTACTCAATGGCACTTAATAGCAACAACAGCCATAGGATAAGCACTCGACTTCAAACCACAGCTTTGGCAGTTCAAGCCTACCACTCACTTAATGGGAAGAAGATGAGGCTTTCTGCTCCCACAACCTCGAACAAAATGGGTCTGAACCCATTGTTGCAGGGTTGCTATGAGTCGGAACCAACTCAAAGGCAGTTAACAACACATACCACTAATATCGTGACAATGTCAAAACACAGGGCAACATTTCATTCTGTTGTACAGGGTTGCCACGAGTCAGTCAATTCCAAGATAGTTACCAAACATTCTAACAGAGTTCCTCCTCCTTTTCCTTCATATCATAAATCACTACTGAACATTTACTATGTGTCAGCCAGTGAATGACATTTCCCTTTACCTACTTGGGGGAAGTAATTCTCTAAATTGATTTTTATTTTTACTGTCAAATATATGCAAAACTAAATAGCACTAAGTAATTTATTAGAGTCCTGGTGTGGCATTGTAGGATGAGCATGGGACTGTTAACTGTAATGTTGATGCTTCAAACCCACCAGCCACTCCTCAGGAACCCTATACAGGGTCGCTATGAGTCAGAACCAACTTGACAATACTTAACAACAACAACAAATAATAATTTGTTAGTAGAACAGTATTGTTTTTGCTGTAACTTGTCATTGAGTTGACTGATGTATAACAACCATATGCACAACAGAACAAAATACTGCCTTGTCCTGTCCCAGCCTCACAGTTGTTGCTCAGTTTGAGCTCATGGCTACAGCCACTGTGTCAGTCATCTCACTGGGGATCTTTCTCTCTTTCCGTGTCCTTCTACTTTACCAAGCATGCATATGAGGTGATTGAAAATACCATGACTTGGATCAAGTACAGCTTAGTTCTCAAAGTGACATGTTTGCTCAGCTCTTTACAAAGCTCTTTTGCTATAGATTTGCTCAATACAATACATTGTTTGATTTCTTAATTGCTGTTTCTGTGGGCACTGAAGGTGCATCTAAGTAAAATGAAATCCTTGGCAACATCTATCTTTTCTCCATTTATCATGATGTTGTTTATCGGTTCAGTTGTGAGGATTTTTTTCCCTTTACATTAAATTGTAATCCATATTGAAGATTGTATGCTTCAAGTCCTCTGCTTTCAGCTAGCAAGGTTGTGTCATCTGCACATCAAAGATTGTTAATGAGTCTTCCTTGTGCCACATTCTTCTTGATATAGTCCAGCAGCTCAGATATTTGCTCAGCATACAAACTGAATGTTGTTTGTTTGTTGTTGTTAAGTGCCATAAGTTGGGTTCCGACCCAGAGCAACCCTGTATAGGGTTTCCAAGGAGCGACTGGTGAGTTTGAACTGTCAACTTTGATGCTCAAACCGACATTGCAGTACAGCACATTAACCCACAGCGCCACACCAGGACTCCAAATATGTATGGTAAAAAGATACAACCCTGGTGCACACCTTTTTTGATTTTAAACCGTGTATTATCCCCTTGTTTTGTTGGAACAAATGCCTGTTATTCTATGTACAGTTCTCATGAACACAATTTAGTGTTCTGGAATTCCCATTCTTCACAATGTCATCCATAATTTGTTATGACCTACACAGTCAAAGGCCTATGCATAATCAATACATCGATGGACTCAAGTGTGGCAACAATAGTGAGGTTGGCCCAGGATTGGGCAGTGTTTCGTTCTGCTGTGCATAAGGTCGCTATGAGTCGGTACCCACTCAATGGCACCTAACAACAACAACAAACATCTTTCTGGTATTCTTTGTTTTTATCCAAGATCCATCTAGCATCAGCAATGATACCCCTCATCCCATATCCTTTTTTAAATCAACTTGAATGTCTGGCAGCTCCCTGCTGATGTGCTGCTGCTACTGTTTTTAATTCTCGTCAGCAAAATTTTACATGTATGTGATATTATTTGATGATTTCCATGTTATGTTGGGTCACCTTCTTTGGAATAGACACAAATATGTCTCTCTTCCAGTTGGTAGGTCAGGTAACTGTCTTCCAATTTTTTGGCATAATCTAGTCCTGCTGTGGTGCTGTAAAATCAGCACTGGACTGTGAACCACAAGGGTGGCAGTTCAAACTCACTGGCTGTTCCTCGGAAACCCTATACAGGGTTTCTATGAGTTGGAGTTGACGCAATGGCATGTAGCAACAACAATAACAACAGTGAGTTCTTGCAGTGCTGCATCAGTTTGTTGAAACATCAATTCCTGGAGTGTTGTTTCTCGCTAATTCCTTCAGTGCAGCTTGGACTTCTTCCTTTAGTACCATCAGTTCTTGGTCATACGCTACATCTTGAAATGGTTGCACATTGACCAGTTCTTTTTGGTACAGTGACTCTGTGTATTCTTTCCAAGTTGTTTTGATGTTTCCAGCATCATTCAATAAAAGTCTTAAAAATTACGATTTGAGGATTGCAGTTTTTCTTTAGTTCTTTCAGCTGGATTAATGCCAAGAATGTTTTTCCTTTTGGTTTTCTAACTCCAGGTCCTTGCTTATTTCAGTACTTGACTTTGTCTTCTTGAACTGCCCTTTGACATTTTCTGTTCAGCCCTTTTACTTCCTCATTTCTTCCTATTGCTTTAGCTTCTCTATCTCAAGAGCATGCTTCAGAGTCTCTTCAGACATCCACTTTTATCTTTTCTTTCTTTTTAATGACCTTTTGCATTCTTCATATTTTGTCTAGACAGATTGTGGGATGACATCAATGACTTCATGTTATGTCTAGACAAAATGGTGGAATGTCATGTTCTTGATGTCATTCCACAATTTGTCTAGTCATTAGTGTTCAAATTCATCAAATCTGTTCTTGAGATGGTCTCTAAATTCAGGTGGGATATACTCAAGGTCATAATTTGAGTCTGTGGACTTGTTTTAACTTTCTGCAGTCTCAGCCTGAACATTCATATGCATCTGTTCCACAGTCTGCCCCTGGACTTGTTTTGGCTAATGATACTGAATTTTTCTATCATGTAGTCATTTTGATTCTTGTGTATCTATCTGGCAAGGACCACATGTAGAGACCCCATTTACAAAGTAGAAAAAAAAAAGGTATTTTCAAAGAATAAGTCATTGGTCTTACAAAATTTTATCATGCAATTTTCAGCAACATTTTTTATCACCAATATCACATTTTCCAACTCATCTTTGGACTCCTCATCTTTGTTTACAACTTTTGCATTCTAATCACCAGTAATTATCAATACATCTTAATTGCATGTTTGATCAATTTCAGATTGAAGAAGTTGGTAGAATTCTTCAATTTCCTCATCATTGACTTTGTTATTATTAATTTATATTTTTTATTGTGAACTTAGTGATAGTTTACATGGGAGAACATCGGCTTTACGCCATCGTTTCATTACAATGACTACAATCTCCTCCGTGCATCATAATTCAACAGTATTTTCTTCCATTCCCTCTGGGGTATTTTGGTAGTGGTGGTGGGGGATGTACAAAAAACACTCAGAAATATATAATAATTTTAACAACCAAAGGGCATGTTCTGCAAGCCTACCTCTCCTGGCCACCAGCACTCAGTCCCTCTCTTTCCATGAATCTAGAGACCTCAGCTGCTCCTTCGCTCCATGTCCTTACCTTTGTCTCCTTCTCTGGTGTCACTGCTTCTCTGGATAAAGTCGCACATTCCGCTTGTGCTCTCCTCCTTTGATAGTCTTAGTGTCCTCTGTTTCTGGACTGTAAGAGTAATTACTCCTCCCTTTTTGTTACAAAACTTCTACCTTTACAGTTGTGACAGTCACCATTAGTCATGATAACAATTACTCACTATTGAATCGTAAGAATCTTATCCCCATCTCTTTTCACCAGACCCATCTAGACGAGATGAAAACTATTCAGTAGGGACTCTTTCTTCCCCCTGCACCCTCTTAAAACTAAACTCCCTCTTGAAACCTTGTAAGCCAGTCACTTCGTGTCTTTATCACTCCCTCATTTTAAATAGCCAATGTCTAAATTGCCCATCCCTATCTACCCTGTATATAGAGGGGATAGGATTGACCTTTGATGTGAAGACTCCTTCCCCCTCTGTTGGTATTTTGAGCAATTACATCCAAAGCACAGGTCAAGGTCATCAAATTGTAGCAATTTACCCTTGTTTCATTTATCAAACATTGTTTTTTAAATCTTCATCTAGTCGAGTTCTGATTATTAAGCCATCGAGGCTAGGTCACAGGGGTACTATATGCAAGTTTGCAATTATGTGCATCTCCCCACACTTCATATCAGCTGGATGCTTCACTCTCAGCTCTAGCCCTCTGTGGCTATATCCTTGTTCATGGGCTCAGGTGTCCCCAGGTCTCACCACACTTTAGACTACTCAGCCCTTCCTCTTCTCTCTCTCATTTCCAGGTCAACAGGAATCTATGGAACATGGTACAACTCAGCCTGTTTCTTCATTGCTGCCTTTCCCCCTCTTCCACTAACCAGTAGACCAATGCATTTCCTTTGAGTTTCAGTCTTGGATGGTCATCGTTGAGTTTTGTTGTTAGTGGGTAAATTTGAACAATAATTGTATAACTGGTCTT